ATGAGTCAAAAGAATTACTTTTTTGTTTCCCTAAACATTGAAAGGTTCACCCCTCACAGCTGTGTTCTGGAGGACAAAGAATATGGGTGGGAAATCCCTGACAAGCAACAACAAAACTGAAATATGAGAAAATAATGCACCATCCGGACATGTTTACATCAACAACACCCAGCGCTGGAATCCAAAGCCATTCTAACCTCTTACTCCCCATGTTTTGTATTTGATATCAGATGTGAGCTGTTTGAAGTCATAAGCTCTTAATTTCCATACACAGAATGAATGGATTCTATTCCCTTATATGTCAGCAGCCTCCCACACATCCTGTTTTTGGATACACCTCACTCCGGTACCTCACCTGAGCAGGTAGGAGCTGGTGTACTTTGTGTTTTGTTATCAACAAAGCTTTATCATTTGTTAAGTGGGAGGAATGGAAAAATTGTGACAAATGACTTCAAGGTTAAGCCATGCGGAGTGGAGGAGTGTATATCTGATCCACTGATTAAAAAACGTTCTCTTCATTGTAAATAGCCAATTTGGGAATCACTTGAAGTGAACATTATGTGCTGGTACAGATGTAAAACGCACGCATGTTTTGGAAGAGGGAGCATTATTCTGTTGCTAATTAATTGTTTTTGTCACTCACTCTGGAATGCGTCAATTTTATGTTTTGGAAAGTTCGTGTTTTTACGCTTCTAAGTGCTGACTAATCAACGATACATTCACACTTGTCCTGTTCTGGTTTGGGCCTGTTTTAGTTTCAATGTAGACTTTGTTCGGTCTAATAATAATACATAATACATTTTAGTTATTAGGCGCCTTTGTGGACACTCAAAGCCGCCTTACAACAATAAACAATCATCACTCCTCAGGTCCTATATTACACAAAATTGATTATTGACTTTGAGTTGAGTTTAAGCCAATACAAACACAACTCCAGGTATGTTTTGATGAGGAAACAACATCATAACATCAGAAAATAGTGTAATATGGGTCCTCTAATTCTTAATCCCAATACCGGTTTCAATTCGTTTCACTTCGTAGAAACCGTCTGACCTCGCAGCGTTGGAATTCGTTCGCTCGACGGTAGGCGGGTATTTTTTGTCATTTAACCAATCATTGTTATTTAGTCGTATGTAATGCGCCACTAATGGGACTAACTGGTATATTAAGCTTTTCCCAAATCCTGTAGGAAGAAGGGCAATAACATCTTTCCCCTTGATGAAATTCACCAAACATTCTCTTCATTCCAGCTTTAAATCCTCGATCTCGGAAATTGTTGCCAACACAGAATATATGGCTCTTCACTGATTGACTGGTGCCCGAACTTGCACTTCCGGGGTTTTTGCAAACCGTCTAGTGCAGGCATGTTCAAACTACAGCCCGTGGGCCAAATGCGGCCCTTGGACAAATTTTTCTTGACCCTCTGCCTTCCAGGAGAATTGGCCCAAATTACCTTATATCAATAAAAATTAACTTTTTACTGCAAGTTTTTTTGAAAATCTACCTTGATAAAGCTAATATTGAAGATTTAGTATGTGGTTTTGAGGATTTTAGCATGAATAAAGACTGATGTCTCATTCTAAAGTGTTAAACATGCACGTATTTCTATTATTCACTGTACTGAGCTCCCGTCTACGGCCCTCGATCAGCCCTCTGCTTCATCTGAGTTTAGAAATGTGGCCCTTGATGAAAAAAGTTTGGACACCCCTGGTCTAGTGTATTCTGATTCCTGACCTAGTTGTTGGAGAGAAATGAAATTAAGAGGAGGCACTAGGTAGCACCAACCTGGCTAGATATGGTAAAAATACTAAAACAACTGATAACTTTTACTGCCACTATAATGGTTAAATGAGTGAACTTGTTAAAATTCTCTTTCACTAGTAAAGCGGCAACAAGTGAGCCGTTAGTACAAGCTCTACACACTGGCATTCAAGCTCCACAGAAGATAAAAAAGACAATAAAACACAAGTGCTCTTAAATACATCTGGCCAAAGTGATAGTTTTGGTTCATTATCACCTAAGATTTCAGTACAAACTATTAACATTATCTTCACATTTGCACAGGGAGGTGTCGTCTCATTTGTGCCTCAATTTTGTTTTGTAAATTGCGTGTAATTAGGGTCCATTATGGGGTCAGCCTCGTCCCCTCACCCCTGACCGCTGGACCTGGACTGGACATGTTTCAACGCACATCACCTTCTCTTGACCTGTGCAGTTACAACTTTGTAGAGGCATTTGAAAAGTAATCAGTTCATTAAATTCATATAAAAATGGTTTATGATAAAGGCTGTGAAGTGAGTGTTTGGAGTGTTTGGATCTTATCTGAAGCATGAATGAGCTGTGTGGTCCTCTGTATTTTTTATTTATTGTATTTATTTTATTTATTTGACTTATTTGCTGCTATTTTATGATTTTTTGTTTTTTTGCTTTTATTTTGATTTGACTGGTTTTATTGTTTTAGGACTTGTATGACCAAATTTTAGCAATTTACCTTTTTGTTGTCTTCATTTTATGATCTCTGTGCAACACTTTGGAAACTTTGCTATAGAAATAAAGTGGATTTTAGATTTGGATTTGGATGCTTCAACAGAAGAAAGGTCAACGTAAGAATGCATGCAAAATATCACGACTATGAAAACAGTGAAAAAAATTGTGGATATATATGCTTAATTTATTCTTTTTTTTATATATTCATATGGTCAAATGAAGTTGTGTTGATGTGTCTGGCTGATTTAAACAAGTTTTGGTGTTTTCCTCCCACCAGTGGAGGCAGAACGACAGCGCCATCTACAGACCGACTTCTTCAGGACAGTATTCCAGGTGTGTGGGAGTAAAAAAGCCCCCTTGTCCCAGTTTATAGTCCCGTGGGCATGTTTCTGTATTTTGATTGCCTCCTTACTCCAACAGGACTATAAACCCAATAAACTCTTGGTCTGAAAAAAGTTATCTAATAAAATAAATGACTGGAAGACCCAATGAACCTTGTTGGACGAGGTATGCTTAATGCCCTACTGTGGAACATTCCAGGCAAAGCAATGACTTATCAATGGAGGCAAGGCCAAGTGAGGACAAAAAATAATAAAACAAAACAAAACAAAAAATCTGCTGAGAGCAAAATGTATGTTTCAAAACAACACTCAGTAATTTAAATATTTTATTTGAATGCAGAACTTGGGCATGTCATGTCTAAATTGTTGATACATTTCTCCTGAATGTTCCACTTTGAGCTGTTGTAACTGTGGTGCTGTGATGAAAGCCGCCTGATGTCAGTGAGGAGGAAGTGCTTTGAAGGCCATGAGGGAGCTCCAGGCCTCACAAAGCAGCTCTGTGGAGGACTCCCAAACACATGACGCTATCTCGAAGCACTGAGCCTCTGACAATACTGTTCATTAACAAACACGATTTCTCCTGCCAACAGTTTCCCTCTTATTATTCAGACTCTACAAATATGTTCTACAAATCTCACTAGTTTAGCTTTGGTCTTGATGGTCTCTAAATGTTGATAATACTGGCCAACTTAAAATGTGCATCACAATGGTTAGGACTGCCACAAAAGATAAAAATACTAAAACAACTGATAACCTTTACTGCCACTATAATAGAGGCATTTGATCATGATTTTTCATTATTACATAAATAGTATCACGTTTTCAAATTATGACTTGTTAAAACTGTGTGTTATTAAATTAAAGGTATAGAACTAGTGTTTTGTGCAACCATTAGAATCTTGGTCTGTGTGACAGTGCCCTCTAGTGTCCATTTTTAATACATGCTGCTGAAAAGACGTCCCTGCTGGAGTTTATATCAAATGAGTGATCTGCAGCGCTGAACAAAGCACTGGATGTATCTGACCACGTGACTTGTCTTGTATCAGATGTGAGTGTTTGTGCCTGAGGAGGACTCCCCTCTGTGTGTGGTATTTGATCAGATATGATCAGCTCAGAACATCTCCCACCAGCCTCACGCTGACGCTCTGAACTTTATCTCAAAGACCCTAAATCACTCTCCATAGGACTCCTCTATTATCAGATTATTCTCAGTGAAAACTTGTGATAACCACAGCTCAAATGGAGGCATAAATTCCTCCTTTAGCCAAATGGTTTTAAGTGGTTTTGGATCAGAACAAGAGTGCATATTATATTTTAAAGATGTTTTGTTCTTAGAATATAATGCACAATAAGAACTTATTAACCTCCTGGGACCCCAACTCTTGTATGACATGCTTTACTGATTTCTCTTTGTTATTTGGGCTGATTGGGACCTGATGAATGCAAAAATAATGAATTATATTTTTATAATATTTTTATATTTATATGTCCACATATGATAAAACATTCACTGTATGTTTTAATCATTTTGATGGAACACAATGAAGTCACAACAGAATAATGATTTGCAAAAACTATTCATGTTCCTGAACAACCCAAAATGTGTTGGACATGTGTCCACATGTGTGGATGCCAGGTCCTTGGAGGCTACAACACATGCTGTTGTCAGAAAGCTTCAAAATAATAATAAATAGCAGTACATTGACACTTTCAGGTCAAAAACAGTCAAGACTGTGTGCGTGCTGCCTCCAGTGATCTCTGCAAGAGCCAGTAATTGGTGACATCACAAAAAACTGCCCTGATTAAAGTGTTGCTGATTACAAACACCTGACCTGAATGTGTCTTGTTGTCTTTTGCAAGTGTGTGTCTGGCTTAAACTCTCTGATACAGATGTTAAAAGTGTTTTTCCTTCTAACTGTAGAAATTCATTCCATTTTGAAAATTTTTATGGCTTTTTTTCAGTAATTTTAGTTTTCAGCTGGTAGTGGCTAAGCTGAGACAATAAGACGACTCTGGGCTACAGTCTTTTTTTTTTTTTTTTTTTAATCTTTCACTGAATTTCATTAAGCTGTGTTTGAAAACCAATCATTCCACAGATCCATCCTTTGGAAGAAGTGGCAGTACCTCATGTTTTTCATGAGCACGTTAAATTCTGGTATTAAACCCTTCATTTTGTTAAGAAAACCTTTTTGTTTGTGTCACTGTTTTTCAATGTTATTCTTTACTTTACTTTACTTTACTTTAAGTATATAGTAGCATATTAGCTTACTAGCAATGGTCTCTTAAATGTATCTTAATTTATTCTTCCAGAGAACTGAACATCTTGGTGCCATAAGTTTGAATCGATCCAGGATGCAAGTCAGAACATTCCTCAAACTCCTTTTCACTCTAAAAGAATAAAAAGTGAATTAGTGAGCATTCCTATTCCACATAATAATTATACAAATTTACCAATAATTAATGAAGTATTCTTTTTATCAAGAATTCCCACTTGTTTTGGTGTTCAGAAGAAACATTTGGCTTGGGGATTGGAGTCCAAAGTGTTGTTTGATGGCTGACCAAAGAATTTCACCATCATTTTCAGCTGAGAAACAAAAACATAAAGCATTAATATCAGTCATATTTATAGCTGACATATATAAGAACTATTGTCTCAAGTGTCCAGAGGCTTAAAATGTACATGTGCTCAGTCATTTTGACTTTCATAGTATATTCCACAGAAAATATCAGTCTGGAGTCTTGTATCATACGTAGCAGAGAGGTTTAAGTTATAGCAAATGCCAGACTGTAACTGGGTTAGGCTACAGGGTCCCCACTAACATATATTTAATTAAAACACATGCAAGTCTGGCCAAACATGGGACAAAGGCAGTAAACAGTGGAAATGTACAAATCTTTACCTAAGCACTTAACATCCCACAACGACAACAACAACCCTTTTATATTGTATGTAGCACTTTGGTGCACTGACATATAGGATCTAACTGTTTGCTTTAGTTTGATTAGCGTTGGTTTTTTCATTATTAATTTTGGTTGGTTGTGATTTAATTTAGTTTAGTTGGCTCCTATATTTTAATCCCAATTTGTTGTGTTGTTTATTATTTTAAAATTTTACTTTTTAAATGCTTAGAATGAACTTTTAATATCACTGTTAACTAAATAAAGATTTGTGCATTTCCACAATTTAATTAATTAATTTATTTATTTATTTATTAAATAGGGACAGTGCATATTAATGAACAGCTACATCACTCCAGTGTAAATATGCCAGATTATAGCAAGAATATTCATTTCCATCTGTAGTGCCTAGGCAGGTAACACCACAAATTTAACAGAAAAAAACTAAACAAGTGACAGAATTTTGAATTTTTAAACATGGTATTGCCATAGAGATAATATTGAAACTATTTTGTGCCACTGATACAGATAAAATAAAGCAATATAATCCCAATAAAACATTTTTAAAGTAACTCGATTATTAAAAGGCATGAGCCGCAACAAATAAGTAGCCGAATGAAGCAATAATTAGCCATAGAAGTCACTTATTGAACCATCTACAAGGAAAAAAAACATTACAGGAACAGCAGTGACCAGACTCAGCCGCTGGTGCAGCAATTAGTCAGAATTTTTCCAGGTGATCAGCAGCAGCTCCACAGGCACAAACATGCACCAAATGTTCACAAATGAAAATAAGGGCGTGGATCTAAACTGCTTTTAAATTATCTTAAATTTAATTATAATCATTACTGTAATGATTATAAGTGAAGCAATAAACCTATTAATAAAATAATAAAAATGAATGCCAGATCAGACAAAGGCAAGATCCTGGCACTGGAAAGACAGACACTCAGAGTGAGACAAACAGATAGATTAAGATAAAGATTCATATTAAGATTAAAGATTAAGATTAAGACAAAGATTAAAACACTGTATTTAAGATGGCTGAAGGGTTTTGAAGTAAGGAAAGGTTTATTATCTCAAAATAATTGCCACAGAATCTGACCTTTTCAAAGTTTGTTTTTTACGTTGCCATTGATCTAAGATAGCAATAGAATTAAAAACTGATCCATTCATCAAAAAGGACAGAAAAACAAAAACTCTCACAACTCACACAAACCACAGTCTGTTTTCTTCAGGGGTTTCAGAAGTTTCTAGACAATTTGCTCCTATCTCAAATGTCTTCCCTCTCCCAAATTGGACAAAAAATGTGTTCTTATCCTTTTAATCCACATAGCAAATTGTTGTGTTGTGAAATAGCATAAACCGTATACTGAAACTGAGCCTGAGCGGTGACTTGACTTGACTTTACTTCACTAATATTGTATTGGCTTATAATGTGGTGAACCCAGCAATAACTCTAAATTTCTCTGTGTTGTTGTTGTTGTTGCTGTTGCTGTTTTTAATCTTATGTTTGCTCATAACACAGATTTTTAGATTTTCACAGCTCAGAAACTCTATTAGTGAGTTGTTTTGCACATTTCAATTTTCAGTAGAGAAGTGTGTCAAAACGATTTTTCATAAAACTGCAGATCCATTTACTGGTTATGTACCGTAGCGTATCTTGGGTGAACTTTCTTTTACAACCGCAAGAGGGCGCCATTCATCTATCGCTCCTTTGAGACGCTGAACGGACACGACGCCACTAATTGGATTGCGTTCATTAAGACCTGAACAGAGTTTAGCTTCATAGCGTGACTAATTTAATAAGCATGGAAAGGCCACAGGGAAAGTAATTGGACATTAGACATCAGAGTGTCAGTCAAAGTTTTCACTGTAGCTTTCAGTCATTTTGAGAACTGTCTGTATTTGGTGCGATGAGAGGGACTTACGCAGGTTAAAACGTGTTCTGTTTATCTGCTGCGGATAAACATGACAATGGAGTGGAAATCGGGAGGTAATATGGCCATCCCAGGGTATTATGCAGATGAGCTGAGAGCTGCATGCCCGGGCAACACCGCTGGGGACGTGAATGGGAAGGATTGATACCAGATGTTCATTGGGACAGTGAGGCCAGCCAATCAGAGGCGAGGCCATTTGGTGAGTGGGCGGGGCTACAGTGTGTCTACTAGGCTCAACATTTATTCTAACAGGTAGTTCAAAAACTAAACAAGTCGAGGAGCATCGCGAAGACGCAGGAGTGAGAAGAGAGATAAGACAGCGGGGAACTTTACGGACTTTTCTGTTGCTTCTTTCTGGATATGCACATGACATGTTGAGCAGAAAAGGCTCCAACGCGGGGATGATGGCCGTGGCACCAGCCGGAGTGGACCGCAGCAGGGTCGGGGAGCGGCTGCACGCTGCTTTGGCCGGGCTGCAGGAGCTCCATCTGCTCCGGGACAGGCAGAGCGAGATGGTGAGCTGGGCGCTGCGGGCGGACCGAGAGGAGCCGGTCACCTCGGTGCACCACAGTCCGGAGGACCCACGAGTCATGGGAGCCGAGGAACAGCGGCTGGAGGCGACACTCACAGCGCTCAAACAGCAACTGGTAAGACAATTATAGCACATAGTAATGGTAGTTTTAGAGCTGTGGGCTGCATGCTAAAACTGTTGCATAGGTCTTCCTTTGTTTTTAATGTTTAAATACCTTCCTCATTCATCTTCATAACCAGATTTCACTTTTTTACGCACGATAATGCACAGTTAGACTTGCAAAAGCTACAATAGTGTCATATTTTACACAAATTATAAACATTTTCAGTGCAACTTGTTCAATGGCTCATGCATGACGTTTTTATATTCTACAAATGTTAATAAAAGTCGCTTCTACGCACGGTTTGGCACACTCCGGGACATTTAAAATTACATTTAGGTGAGATAGACTTGCGTACATCAGTGTATTATGACCATTTCCTGAGTTTTGAATCCTTATTTTAAACGTCCTTGACCACTTCATGATGAGGTCGTGCGTAAAATCTTCACCTTAAGCACTGAACCGCTTTATTTTACGATCAAAACAACCGTAGCCAAAAGGTCTGACTATCCAAACTTACATTTCCGCAGCAGTCTAATTGAGTCAGCTGATTCTCATGTGCACTCGCTTCAATTATTACCAGCCCCACACTTTAATGCCCTCAGCTGGGGGTAGGAAACGGAATAGTGTCATAAATCAAGGTTCACTGCGGGACCTGGGGGACCTTGAGATGTGTGCGTGCGCGTCCTCGTTGCGCGTGCCCGTGCAGTCTGCAGGGGGTTATCCGCAATCATTAACCACTAAGAAATAGGAAAGGAGAGCATTGTGAGAACTGTTTACTACGGGATGTGTGCGTGCAAAGCGATACAGTCAACTCACTGGAGGCAATAAGGTTTTCCGTGACTGACTTTTTCCAGGTAGCTTGAGGATTAAGGTGCTTAGTGTACGGTGGAAAGTTGTGCACATACTCATTATCAGATGTGTAATTTTGTTTTGAGGACTTAGAGAGAAAAACAGACAATAATAAAAGAACTGAGACCTCAACGAATTACTATTATTTGTGGTCTATTAACAAGAGAAAAACATTACATTAGAACATTTTCCACATATAGTCCTGGTTTAAATCTTGTGGCACTCAGAAGACCATATATTTTGTTAGGTTCTATTTTATATGAAACATTTGATAACCTGATCTTTTTTTTTTTCAAACTAAGGTTATTTTTGGAGGTCAGTTGTGCTATTTGAAGTCCACTGTACCCGTAACAGTACATGCTTTGCCTGAGCTATAGTGCAAACAGAGTCTTCTTTGGTCCCAACCCCCAGGGCCCGCTCCTCACGCTGCGTTTACACAATGACCAGACCTGACCCTCGCTGTGGGGGAGCAATGAGTTACCCACCAACCAACAACCAGCCCCTGTCCCGACCCAACCTAACCTCCCCGTGTCCTGCTGTGGTTAATCAGTAGCCACAGCTGGGACGGCTTTGTTTTTCGGATCACTATACATTAAAAGCATCATTTCAATAGACCCCTAATAAAAAAAACTTCCTAATATACATTTTCATTGAGCTTCCTGTTGCATGAAAAAGAAAGCATTTATTGGGCTTGGAGTTAAAGAGGTTGTTTTTTTTTTTTTCTTTTTTTGTTGTGCAGTCTCGCCTTCGAAAGCAGGATGTGGGGCTGAAGACTCACTTGCAGCAGCTGGACCAGCAGATAAATGAGCTGAAGTTGGATGTGAACAAAGCGGATCAGCAAGAGACAGACAGCCGCCCAAGTTCAGGTATTGGTCATTTTCAGCATCTAGAATGTAATATTAGGATAAATCCACATATGAAAGAAGGAGATAGTTTGCAGTATTGACAGCACCTAAACATCATCTCCACAAATCATGAAACATAATTTATAGAAAGTGATTGTGTGATGTGCGATTTTATTCATATATCATCATATAGGTCAATGATTTCTATACCATTTCTATAAAACCTGCAAATTTACAATATTAAATTTACACTCCTCCCTTTCTATTAAACAAAATAGACTTGTAGAAACTTGTGAGTTTATCTGAAACCCACAAGTTGGTGTTTTTTGAAGATGACAAAAGAAATACGCTGATATTTTTATTAGCAACAGGCTCCATTATCTGACTAGTTATCCAGTTGCACTAGAAAATCAAAGCTTTAACAAAAGTCATTTATTTTACCCCACTTTAAACTAAACAGCGCACATCAATAACAAGTTATGATGTCATCTGAGACCGCACAAAATACCACATGTGTTGACTTAGTGATGAGTAATGCATCATAACCAGTCAACCATCACATTATGAAAGCTATATCTCACCCAATCACTAATCTTCTTATTGTCCTCAGGTTTCTATGAACTCAGCGATGGTGGATCCGGATCTCTGTCCAACTCATGCACGTCGGTGTACAGCGCGTGCTTGTCATCTCCGCAAACAACGTTACCCGCGAACCCCTCAAATATTCACAACGAGCCACAAAACCAGGCGGACGTGTCCCGTAGACGCTCGGCAGACGAGAGCACCGCCCAAACCACTGCGCCGAGAGTCAAAGGCGGTTTACACTTAGGCAGCAGTCGAATCCGTGCCAATACTGAAAAGGCTCGCCCCAGACCAGTGTCAACAGGTAACCGTCCCCCATTGACTTTTGTAAGCTTTGCGTGTTAATATAAACCCTTTAATTGTCGTAACTTAGCAACCCCATGTGTATTTAGTGCATGATTATATATTATGTCAACCGTGTGTTTGCCAAAAGAATAATAATGGGTATTTACATGTTGTGTTTGTCTTTTTTAGGTGATCTGGATAGGATGATGGGGCAAATGCAGAATTACAGCAAGCCAGTGGATACAAGCAAGCCTATCGCAAGCCAAAACATTCAAATGGACTCAAAGTTTCATAGTAATCTTGTATCGCGTACTGGAGCAGAGATGTACCAATATCCAAGTCCCCTACATGCAGTCGCTCTACAGAGTCCAATCTTTTCCCCAAACTGCGAAACCCCAAATAATGGACTTTTAGAAGGACCTCTTGTGAACGGGAGCAGCTCACTCCAAAGACCGGCCAATTACGACACTAAAACTTTTGGTTACATTGACAAAATCCTTCAGCGTAGCTTCAGTAAACTCAGCTTCGAATCTGGCTCGGACACGCTCTCATCCCAGCATTCACACAGGAAGCCGTCGGAAGTTGTAACGGTATTTCCTGAAGTTTCCCAAAAAGAGGTGTCAGCTCTACCACCACTGCCCCCACCTCCTGCCCCGGCCCCGACAGCCCCACAGATCACAAACGTCCCAGCACAGGGCAATGACCAAAAGAGGCACTACCCCGGTCAGGAGACAGCTGATAACACAAACAAGTACAAACAGTTGCTAAGACCTCACGAAGTCTCACACCGCCTGTCTTTCCCAGCTGACACGCGCGAGTACAGCTCAGACGAAGTCACCACCTCCACCCTTAAGAAAGTCAACAAACTCCCGATGCAGTACTCAAGCTTGTCCAGAAGCCATTCGGATTACAGAAGTAGCGATAATACCGAACCGAGACATGATAGGAAAGGGCAAAAGCAAAGATCGGTTATATCCCAAAGTTCTAGCACAGAAGAAGGGCATAGTTTCGAAGCTCCCCACAGCACCTCTCCACAATTTGTCCATGCGCAATTCGTACCAGCTGGCTCCCAAAGAGTTAAGGTGCGACAAGCAGATCGTAAAACCAAAAATGTGAAGCTTAAAAAGAAGAATGTGGAGAAGCCAAGGAAGCAACAGCATGGTTACTCCTCTGGTGAGAAGTCAAAGGATTCAAGTAACAGCAAATCGGATCATAAGAAGTCTTCAAAGGGTAAGATCACGCAAAAGTCACCTGTTTATTTATCAGACGAGCATAGGCGAGGATCAGGGTCAGATTCGAGTCACTGTAGCGCAGGACTTATGTACACGCAAAAAATCCATGCTAAACCTCAACCAAATGCAGCTGTTGGCAAATCTACCAAAAACCACCGCAAACCCCAAAATATGGAGTACGAGGTTGATCAGAGAAAGAAGCGTCAGGGAGACAGGCAAGTTGACATATGCCAGGCGCAGATGTCTTATCGGCAAAGGTCAAGAGAGGCCCCCATTCCAAATATGCACATGGTCAGGAGTGTGAGTTCGAGGACGGGACAGTGGGTGCAACAACCACAACGCCACTTCCCAACTTCGATGTCTGTGAATTCCTTCCATCAAAATCTCAACGCTAGATACCCTGCTGCTCCTTACCACATAACTAGCAGGTACCCGCCCCGATGTGAGTCCGAGTATTCCGCAGAGTGTGCTTCACTTTTCCATTCAACCATCGCGGCGAGCAGCGACGGAGAAATGAGTGACCATACAACGAATAGATTTGGAGATAGTGAGTCCAGTCAAAGCTACCAGTCGTTTTCAGACTCAGATAGTAGCTTGTCTTTTGATGAGGAGGAGGATTTTCTGGATGAGGATGGGAGTTTGGTTTGGGCCAATGCCGCTATGGGACCTACAACAGCGGGGCGCCCAGTGCAGCAGCAACAGCAGGCCCCACCACCACGATCGGCTCCTTCATCTTGCAGAATTAAAGCTTCGCGAGCCTTAAAAAAGAAGATCAGAAGATTTCAGCCAGCGTCTTTAAAGGTTATGACTCTGGTGTAAAGCCAAACACAGACTTCAGAAAGGATGATTTGACTTTTCAAAATACTTCAAATCATACTTTAAGGGTGTGTTCATACTGTACTATCCCAGGACTGAAACTGAAACTGAAACTCGAGTAGGACTAACCCAAGACTAAAAGAACCAAAGCAAGTCTACATCAGAACTGACTAACTAAACTTGGCTAAAATCCGGACAAATGTGACCACACCCTAAAAATGTTCGGCCCAATTTTTGGTCGAAATGTTGTTGTATGTTAATAAGATTTGCATTGAGATACACACTTGGGAAAGACTTCAGAAAACATTTTTTTTTTCTAAATGCTTCAAATAATCTTGTAAGAACCCTTGGTTGACTTATACTTTATCCGTGCACTATTCTGAATATGTTGATAGGGTTTGAATTGAAACAGCACACTGTATAGTAATAACATTTATATCATAATTATTGTAACGTGTACATATGTATAATCACTTTTGGTTGCATTTAATTTCAATTTGTCAAATATAATCAGTACTTTTATGTAAACCAATCTTTTTTTTTTATTGCAAAATGTTTATCTTTATTACTCATTTGCTTTGATTATAACGTTGTGCTGGAAATAAACAGGTTTAATATACATTCAAATGCCTTATTGTCCATCTGTACCCATATGTTGGTTGGGAAGCTAATTAAACTGGCTGTTATCCTGGGTCGATCTATGGTATTAGGAGCTAAATTGCAGTGCACTCCAGGGACCTGTTTTGAAAACCCCCCACTGCTGAAAATGTCTGACTCAGGCTAAACACTTGGGCTCAAATAGCTTTTAACCGCTCCTTATCTAGTTTCCTGAGTTGTTAGTTACTTCTTCAATTATCAACCCAGACAGTAATGTTTAATTAGAGGGAGAAACTTCTCAGACATCCTGCAAACATCCAAGTACTAAAATTCACAAGTCACACTGCAAAAACAAATAGATACAACAGATTAAGTCAATTCAAAACAATGATCTTATTTAGGGTCATTTCAACAACTTCATATTTGTTTAGCTAAAAGGTCTATTCATGGTTTCAGCTTCTTGTTTTTAAGCACCATTTTGAGGACTTTTCACATTTCAGAAGATGTAATATTTGGTTTTGAATTGTCAATTGCTATGGCAAAAGTGCAATTTTTTCACAAGCAATTTTAATAAACATTTTTGTTGTAACATTTGGTCATTTCTGGAGCATCTTTTTCAAAAAACAAACTATTAGGAACTGCAAAAGCTTCATATAGATCTTATGTACTTTTTAGCAAAATATATCTGAAAATATGTCAACTTTGAATAGTTTTTGTAGCAGAATACTACTACAAATGCTTCAAATCAAGATTAATATTCAAAATTCAAGACATTTAAAGTGAGGAAGAGTTTGCTGTTTTAAAATCTCTGGGCTTAAGGAAGTCTCTCCGGTTTCTGGGAGCAGAGTTGAAGTCTAAAAACAGCTGGGTGCAGGAGCCTGGGACACGTAGGATTAAATTGGGCCTGACAGAAGATAAGAGGTCCCTCACTGCAGACCTGTCAAGAGGAGCTTAGACACTGGGCAGCTGTGCAAAGTCGCCAAATAATCTCATTTCCAAAATCAGCCTGGGTCTTTTCCATTCAAATTCCTCCACAAAGGGTGAGGAAAAGGACATTATGGAGACTGAATTACTGTAATAATGAAGCTCCATGTGATCCTGAAGTTACTAAGAAGATTATAAAGGTGACCAAGATAAAACTGGGCAAGGGTGTTTTATGCTAATTACTGTATGTCAATGTAGTAGATGCAAAGGAAGTTCTGAAATTTTTGTTGATGAAGCAGGCTACTGCAATTACAAAACTGGTTTAAAGATGCATTGTGTAACTTTTCTGGTGCAGGGTCCATCAAATGCTTTTCTCCGTGAAGATGTTATGTTATGGAATGTTTCACGGTATGCCATTAAACCTTCCTATCTTCATGGAAACCAATCCAGACCAAGTTACAAGTCAGATCCGTTTAGAGGTGACCCCACTTACAGTCAGAATACCCGTTTTCCTAGGTATTTTTGAGATATAAAACCACCTGTAATTGAATAAATGTAAGGTAGAACTGTTTAATGTGGTGACGGAGCCCCAGCCAAAAAGTTACATGGTGCATCCATTAGCCTGATTCATCTGCCGGTTTCACTTGGTTGGAAACCGTCTGACCTCGCAGCATTAGGATTTGTTAGCTTGACAGTGGTGGGTACTTTTTTTATTTAACCAATCGCTGCTGTTTTGTCATGATGTCTGTAATGCACGAAATCCCGCAGGAAGAAGGGCAATATCTTTTCCCTTGATAAAATTCACCAAACATTCTCTTCGTTCCAGCTTTCAATCGTCAATCTCAGGAATCGTTGCCAACATGGCTTCATTTACATCCACCTCAACCGCTTTGTTTACTGTTGTGCTGTACCACAAAAAGGGACCCAGACAGGCGCTTGAGTTTGACGTCATGGCTTCACAGCTCTTCACTGATTGGCTGGTGTGCTTTCTATAACTTCCAGAGTTCTTGCAAACCGTCTAGTGTATTCCCATTCCTGACCTAGTTGCTGGAGAGAAATTAAATTGAGCAGAGGCACTAGATGGCACCACCCTGGCTAGGAGAATGTAATTGAAAAAATAAAAATCAATCTTATTCAAGTCCTTTGCCAAGAGGTAATTCAACACATAGTTACAAGATACATACAAACAATAATAAATCAAAAAACACATTTTTCACTCACCTTAACAACCCCATTTCTTTAAGGACTTCAATTGTACTGCTACTGAAAAAAGTGAACATGAATCATTTTTAACTGAAATAAACCAGTACGCTCATTTGCACACACACAAGCCACACCCTGAGTTTACAGAAAAGCTATACAAGATTAATGGCTAGATTGGATGGATAGGTTTTTAATACTCATGAATCATTAATGTAATTTATGAAACTCAACACTTAAAATAGGCAATTGTGACTTTCTTTGTGTCAAACCATTCACTCGGGGTCACGTGTTAACTCCGTACCTATTTTTACCCTACTTACCCACACAGAGAGGGCTAAAGGCCAGAAACCCTAAACCACAATGAACATAAAGTAGTTGAACAAGTGGCAACAAATGAATCAATCCATTAGTATTTGCTCCACCAGCTGACCCCTGCCCTTTGGTATGGGGCAGATGGGAGCTGGTGAAGGGATTAGGCCTGGACTTAGGATCTGGACTCTGGATCTGGACTTGTCTTTGATGTCCAGACATCTCAGGTTGACCTTGTTCGCCCGCTGACCCGTCCACGCTGGGTTACTCCACCTCATCTCGGTACAATAAAGGGAGTAGAGGGGTAGAGTGGCTTTTATATGACTGCACCATTCACTGCTTTGTTTCTTTTGTGTCTTAACATTGTCTTCCTCTTTTCAGAGCTAGAAGCACCTTAGAGATGCACACTAATTTAGTCTTGGTTAAAAAGTAGTAAAATTTGTAATTAGTAAGTTAGAGCAGTGGTTATCGAATTTTGCTGTAGATACAACCGGGAAAAGGGCCCAGTTACGCTACATTCTTATTTATTTAATGTTGTTTCTTCCTTAAAAACAAACCTGGAGCTGTGTTTTGTTTCATCCACACTTTTTGCATATTTAGGAGTTCTTCTCTCAAACAGAAAAATACTCCATTGTGTTTAAAAAAAAACATACATGTACCAGCACAAACGAGAAAGCAATAGTGGACCTCAGTCGGCTGTACATCTCCATCTAAAAGCCTCGTGCCACTCCTTTGAGGATAGTGAGGTACAGATCTTAGCCAGAGAAAAGAAATGGTTTGAGAGGGGAGTTAAAGAAGCTATTTTTGTGAAGAAAGACAATCCATCTTTGAACAGAAATGGGAACTCAGACACCATCTAATTCCTATTTACAACTCCATCCTCAAACCTCAATGAAAACATGCAAAGAAGGCAATAGAGGTAGCCAGGTCAGGCCCAAAGGTGTGAAGTTTAGTTGTAGTTTCATTGTAGTTAGCTCCTCCCTTCAGACAGATATAAGGAAGTGTCCACCAGCGTCTGACCAGAACTGAAGAAGCAACTTGGATGAGCTGCAACACGTATTCAACCAAATAAACTTTTGTCCAGTTCACAAATTGAATTTCTCCTTTTGCCCTGGATTCTACAAGGACGACTGAGGGATTTTACACAAAGCTCCATACACTTTCAGGTCTTGAACTGCCAATTTCTGAACTACAAGTAAAAAGTTGACAGTTTTGTCCAATTTTTGACCAGGTTTAGTCTGTTTTAGCCCGATGGTCTGAAAGCAAACTACTTGGAGTGAATCTTTTTAGAATTTAGAGAGCTACATTGCCTTTGATATCCAAAAACAGATTTTCTTTTCCACAGTCTTGATTTACCTTTTATTTGTCTTTTATTAGGTTAGGCTAGGTTGCTTTATTCGTACTCGTAGGTAAATTTGTTTTGCAGATTTGAGAGGCAGGTCCCACATTTCACATTTCATTCATTCCACATTATGTAAAATAAACATGTATAAAAACAAAATAACAAAATAAAGTGTGATAGTGCTCCAGTGCTGAATGTTTTGTTTCTTAAACAATATTTTAACAATATTTATTAAACAATTAGTTAAACTTATTGGCCAATGAAGGGTTAATATCAGCAGTTTGAGAAGCAATTAGTAAAATTATTTGGAAATTTATACAAAAACAAACTGAACTGAATATTCAGAAATGTACTTTATGTTAAATAAGTTAATTTAAAACCTCCCAAAATGCTGAAATATTAAGTATTTAAAGAGAGTTTAGAGCCTGAGAAAAACAGGGAAATCTTGCCTCTGCATTTGATCCATCCTTCAGTACATCTCCAGATCTTGAGCTGGTCAGAACTATGATTTTGCCAATATTTTGCATGCTTTTAACTTGATGGAAACACATACAAACTCTATACGAAAAAGGCTCCGTGCTGAATGTTATGAATGTCCCGAGATGAGCAAGAAAACAGGCTGGACCCAAAAGGCAGATTGGCAACAGTAACTAAAGTACACAACCTTGTTTATTGTGTTTTTTGTCCATTTTAAAAACTTGTTGCTCCTTGGAGATTGATGCCACTTTAATTAATTCCACATGGGAGCGACTGAGGGGTGAAATAGAAAGGGCAGCAGGTGTGGTGCCTGTGGGATACTGTACAGGGCGTAACCCACACCCCTCTCCAGACTCACCCACGGGACTGTGGTTTGTCCCACTGAGGTCTACAGGTGTCACTGAGGATCTCATTACGCTGTGCTGTGGATAAGACATAATGTACACCTGATGTGTCCAGGAGGGGAGGACATCGGGTTTAATCAAGATCAACATTACAAGGCTGACACCACACCTGCAAGTCTAAGGGCAAAGTGAGAGTTCTCAGAAAAGCGAAAGAAGTCTAAAGCAGGGAGAGGGAAGCTATTTTAGAAGTTATTTGAATTTTCAACAAACACTGGGAGTTTCTGTTGTTAAATATTATTATTAGCATTGTAGTCAAGACCACACTAATCAAGACCAAGATCTGTTCGAAACCACAGGGTCCCAAGATCAGGACAAGACCAAGACCTCTGAGGGTCGAGACCGACACAAGACCAAGACTTTTAAAAGCAGAGATCGAGATAAGACGGAGACCACGGCCCATCGAGACCAAATCGAGACCACCGTTGTAATTTTCAACATTTATTTGTGTTTCCAGGCACCTTCAAGACCGAAACTTAGAACAAATCCAAACACCGTCTAGTATGAGACAAGACCAAGACCACAAAAAAAAAAAAAAAAAAAAGGCCTTGAAGTCGGTCACTACAACACTAGTTATTATATTGGATGTAAGGATTTCCAAATCTCATGGTACAATATTTTCATAATATACATCTCACGGTACAATATTTATTGAGATATTTTGTGGAGCTTAACAAAA